TCTCTTTTTCTTTGTAATAACTGGCCTGTGATAGCTCAAAATGAATTACATTAGTACAGAGATATTGCACATAAACATCCTCTGGTGGAACATGTGATCCATTTTATGTCAGTTCATAAAATCATAACACGGCTCTCTGCACCATAACACTGCAGTTATAATGAGATGCATATATATAATTAAACCAGTCATATTTACATTCATAACCACATTTTGTCATTTTTGGAGTTCAGAAGCACCCGTTTCCATTTACTTTCACTGCATGGAAAAGAGCAGCTTGGACACTCTACTAAATATCTCCTTTTATGTTTTACAGAAGAGAAGTGTCATCAGGGTTTGAAACAACAAGTGGGAGAGAAAATACTCTGTATTCCGACAGATAAAACTTCAGAATCCAGATTAAAGATCGGATTGAATTCAGAGCATCCCAAATTCCCTGCAGTCTGTCACCAGACGTGATCAGACTTTTGTATTTTCCGAGACTGCAATATATAGTGAGGCAATCACAGCCAGAGGCTGAAGAATAAAATAAATCAAAATGGAGAATGGAGAATCAATGGCCAGGAATACAATCACAGACACACAATCATTTACCCTCTTCAGGATGACGTTGATCTCCACGGCCAACAGCAGACCATATAGCAGTGTCAGTAAGCCTGTGATCCCGAAGCGCAGCTGTCTCAGGCCAATGCCGTGCTCTGTGTACTTGGCAAACTTGATTGTTTTAGAGACAAACGCCAAAACCCAGTAAATGAGCAGAGCTGTGAAAGAAACATAAATACAATGATACGTGACATTACATCCTCTATACACTTCATCACCAAAGGCATCAGTCTCTGCTGGTTTTGCACAGCAGGCAGATGTTTGAAATGGCTTCTCACTCCAGATGTTCAGAGACAGGATGATAAATACGGTTAGAGTCTCTTTAAAACGTGCTGCCGTCCTCAAAAATATTGCAGTCAAGGAATGTGATTACAGGGCTGTGACTTCGATCTCTAGTCTAGATAATGTTCAGATGATTTGAAGTCATTGTGACAAACAATTTTATCCTGGAAATGAAACTGTAGTTGGAAAATAGCATTGCACCATCAAGGGCCATTAGTCTGTAGCACTGCAATGCAGTCGGTT